TTATTAGAAGTCGAATCACTTCGGGTTTATTTTGATAGCTTTGAGCTATAATTGTAAACCAATTGCTCCTCCTCTCACTAACTATCGGACGATTTACGTACTAAAGTTCTGTAACTGAGTTTTGTTTAAAAGAAACAGCAAAAAGAGATTAAAATGTCACCTGGTCAAACCCGGGGTGGACTATTTACATTGAGCGTCCCAACGGCTCCTGACACATGGTAGAACCTCGTAAGCTCGGGAAATTGGGTCAAACTTTACCCTAATTGTCATGTCCTCCTGTAGGTTTTACCTTATGAATTTATAAAATTCACTAGTGTAGTTAGAGTGTGGTGATTGGCGACACTTGAAAGCCACGAACTTTAGTTGCTCAAAGCTATCAAAATTAGGGTTAAATGTTAATTCAAGTATGTGAAATGTGAATGTGACTTGCATTCTGTACAACTATTTCTAGTTCATGACGTAACCATGGCGTGTGTACCGCGGTACAGATATAAGCACCTTGAAATTGCCGAGCCAAGCTGTGGTAGAGATAACAAATTGAACAGAGGGTCAAATACAGATAAGAAAAGTTAACAAACGATATATATAATAATATCCGTCTGCTCACTCTTCCTGTTTGTGAGTGGACGGATCGGCGTCACGTGACATAACACCTCTATTACAATTGGTCGCTCGGTCAGGATCACGGAGTGCATGGCTGCCCGTCGTTCAGAAAACAATTTGATTCAGTTGTTATTATGATTGTTATATCATGGTGTTGGTTACCTACATTCATTGTGTTCCTTTTGACTTAGCTATCGTACTTTGCTCTGAAAATTGTGATAGTACCTGTTCGAGTTCTTAATGAAACGATATCCTTGTTCTTTCGTTGCAGAATCAAAATATTCTTCGTTTGAGTAAAACATGAATTTTGAGTGTTGTTCGCTGTAAAACCAACCTAAATCGATGTCTCGCACAATGGTAGGTGAGAGACAGTCACCAAAATGAGTTGCTAACCTGCTATGTGTTTTCGTACTCTGCTCTTCACTCAAGTTGCAAAGCTGCAATAAACATATTGCAACGAACATTTCTATCTGAAAATTGTGTTAGTACCTGTTCGATCAATTAAGGGGGGGGGGGGGGGGGGGGGGGGGGAGTTGACCAACAAACTAGGACCAGTGACCGAACTTTTGAGGGGGTTCCGGACCCCAACCGCCAAACGGTGCCCGCGGGGCAGCCACGCCCATATTTGGTCCAAATTAGTAGGGGGTGCACGATAAAAAATAAAATTGCTCGGATTTTCAAAATTTTTGTACCATTGTTTTCTAGAGACTGTGAGAATTTTCACAGTACCAAATTTGCTATACTTTTTTGGAATGATCAGTGAGTTTCGCCTAGGTGCCATATTTGATGGTGCGCGGCTTTTGGAGCAAAATTAGGTGTAAGAGTCGCGTAATTTTACGAAATTCGTTGATTTTTGTCGTATTATTCTATCATATCTTCGGTTCCTGAACATGAATCATGCTGAAAATTTGTCAGAACCTTCCAATCATACTTAACTACCGAACCTAATTTAGTTGGGAGAGATTGGTCTTGATTAAGAGGTCCAAAATGACAAAATAGGTATAAATCCGTTGATAACTCAAATTCTGACCATTGAAATTGCTCAAACTAAATTAAGTTCAGTAGAACATAAGTGTTTACGTACATTGACCAAATTTCAACCAAATTGTTATATGGGAAGTATCACAACTTTTTGATTGTTTCCAAAATAATGCGCTGGCCGAAATAAGAGCTAAAAAACCATTCAATGGTCAGCGCGCGCGTCTTACAATCTATGGCGCACTGCCATAAGTTTTGTATTGGAATTTTGAGTTAGGCCTTTAAACAAATTTGGCGGCCAAATTCCAATATTTGCAATGCGAAATTCAGAATTTGGCCGCCAAATTTTTTTGGCGGCCAAATTTTTTTGTGGGGTTCACCCTGATTTTTTTGTGAAACTTGGTTTCGAGATAGCAGTTGACCAACAAACTAGGACCAGTGACCGAACTTTTGAGGAGGTCCCGGACCCCAACCGCCGAACGGTGCCCGCGGGGCAGCCACGCCCATATTTGGTCCAAATTAGGCCCAATTTAGCCAAATAACCTGAACATGCCCAAAATCTTGATTTTAGGTGCTCTACTTGTAGCTAGTGGTCCCCTGAAATCGTATATGAATTTTCATCAAGATTGGACAAAACATGACTGAGTTATGAGCAAAAAACCATATGACCATATTTAGGCATACGTACCAAATTTGATCGAATTTGGCCCATAAATTGGTTAAATATCAATGTTTTTGAATGAAACCAACTTTATATGAAAGGTAAGCCTATACTACAAATTATCTATGATTATCAGCTCAGTATCTACCTAACTGTGGATTCTGTGTTCAAATAATCTCTTGACCATTGTTAATGATTTGGCCCGGCGCGCGCTACTTCGTAGCTCGTGCCGTCGGGTAACATTTCGAGAAGAAAGCGGCGCGCGCTACTTCGAAGAAATTTAGACGAGTAACATCCGTCAAATAATCTCAAAAAAAGAACAAAATTGCCCATATCTCAGTTCGCGATATTTGCAAAACTGATTAAATTTCGCGTCGCTCAAAACAATAGAACTCAATAGGGTTTCAATATTTTTACACGAAATTTTCAGAATCAACGTAGAATCGCATTTCAACCTTAAGTTTTGTATTGGGATTTTGAGTTAGGCCTTTAAACAAATTTGGCGGCCAAATTCCAATATTTGCAATGCGAAATTCAGAATTTGGCCGCCAAATTTTTTTAAAGGCCTAACTCAAAATTCCAATACAAAACTTAAGGTCGAAATGCGGTTCTACGTTGATTCTAATTCTGAAAATTTCATGTAAAAATATTGAAACCCTACTGAGTTCTATTGTTTTGAGCGAAATCAGTTTTGCAAATATCGCGAACTGAGATATGGGCAATTTTGTTCATTTTTTGCGATTATTTGAACACAGAATCCACAGTTAGGTAGATACTGAGCTGATAATCATAGATAATGTGTAGTATAGGCTTACCTTTCATATAAAGTTGGTTTCATTCAAAAACATTGATATTTAACCAATTTATGGGCCAAATTCGATCAAATTTGGTGCGTATGCCCAAATATGGTCATATGGTTTTTTGCTCATAACTCAGTCATTTTTTGTCCAATCTTGATGAAAATTCATATACGAGTTCAAGGGACCACTAGCTACAAGTAGAGCACCTAAAATCAAGATTTTGGGCATGTTCAGGGTATTTGGCTAAATTGGGCCTAATTTGGACCAAATATGGGCGTGGCTGCCCCGCGGGCACCGTTTGGCGGTTGGGGTCCGGGACCCCCTCAAAAGTTCGGTCACTGGTCCTAGTTTGTTGGTCAACTGCTATCTCGAAACCAAGTTTCACAAAAAAAAATCAGGGTGAACCCCCCCGGCCCCCCCCCCCCCCCACCCCCCCCCCCCTTAAGGTGAGGATTGCCTCGATCTTTCGGTTTCAGCTTAACTCCCTAGGCCCTAGGTCATGAGTAGAACCGAAGGTATATAAGTTGCTTGTTGCTCATATTAACTATAAAACATCAATTTTAATAAGAAGGTTGATTTCTCGGTTATTTTTAAGCTTCCGTTCAGAAAATAATTCGGGACTTTCAAAGGGGGGTAACAAGAAGGAGTTACAAGTGGTATGTAAGCGTTCTATAATACATAATTTGCATCACATCTTCAACCTGCTGAATAGAGGCGCCACCTAAAACGTAAACCAACAATTATCACCTCCCCGGCAGTATCGACATCTATAAAGCGAGACGATATAAATTTATCTGTGCCATTTTACTGACAACACGGCATCAACTTTTACGCAAATTTCCGCAAAAACCGTAAAATATATACAACTGAAACCTTTTTTGACTGGGTCAAATGCTTTAATGGCCTCCAAATCAGCATGAAAAAATAAAAAATTGGCCAAGAAATAGGAGTTTTAGAGACCAAAATTTGGTACCCCAAGTGGTGTCAAAATACGGGTTCCTGCTATTTTATAATAAAGATAAGAGATGCTTTTACTAAAAGGTTTCAATTTGCAAAATAATTTAATTGCGGATATAAGGATTAAGGGTCACAGGTTTCAGTTCAAGTTTCAGTTTACTGTATTTTTTCAGTTCTTTAGCTTTCACTTATCTCTGATGGATGGTTTTTATTCCTCCCAACCTTTGAAAGTGTCGCTGAACGTAACGATACAATTACAATTTCGTCACATAAGTTAAATTATTTTTTTGAAATTCATTTCATTTCGATCAAGAATTCAGATAATCATGATATAAATACTCAAAATCTTAAATCAACCTCGCAATCCTTTTTTTCGTTTAATATAATTATGAACGGTAAAATAAAGCTAATTAGAAAGCCTTCAATCCGTATTGACCAATGCTTCTTAAAATCCATCTAAATGTAAGCTATTTAAGATGTGCTCTTGGATAGTTGGCGATTAACTAATGATCGAATCTGACGTTAGTTTATTTATAAGTTTTGTTAACATACCTTATACATTGTCATTGTTTTATTGTGCGTAACGGTAAATCGTTATTTACTTCTTCTAGCTGCTAACTGTTTTAAATGACGTTCAGCAAGATAATTTAGAATAAATAAATTAAATTTTTTTAACTGAACCGCTATTTATTATAGCTCAGGACCAAACCCAGATGGTGTCCTACATCATCAAATCTCAGTTTTCGAACTCATCAAACCTGCAATTGATTCGAAACTTAATATTACCTTTAATGCTTACACTCGTCATGTAGTTGTTTCATTAGCATTAGTGCTGTTGTTTTCACTAAGTATGCTAACACAGTAAGATAGTACTGATATGCTATTTCCTAGATTCCAGCAATTTCTTCTCTTCGTTCACCATGACATCTCTCTTCTCCAAAGAATGTGAATTCATCCGCCTGTCCATCTCTTTCATATTTATTGATTGCACAGAAATTCTGATGGCGTTCATAACCCTTATGTTCGCAGGACACATTAGTCCGGCTCATCTAGCTGGAGTGGGACTCACTAACACCCTTTTTAACCTGATCGTCGTCCCAGTGTCCGCTGGATACGCCTCCGTCTTCGACACTTATGGTCCTCAAGTCTACGGTTTTAAGGGTGAGCTTGGGACGGTCTTCTTGAAATGTCTTCTCCAGGGCTGGCTCTTGCTGTTTTTAGTTCTAGGACCGTACCTGAATATTGTTTACATCATAGACCTTCTGCCGTACTCCGGATTGAATTCTTCAATCACAGTGGTTAACGAGATGGCCATTTTGGGCCAGGGCGACTTCCGGGATATCGCGGTGAATTATCTTAGGATCACTTTCATCGTAGAGTTTCTGGACTACACCTTTACCATGATCTCCAAGTATTTCGCTATTCAGGAGCAGACCAAGTTTGTCTATCTTGTTTCCATTGTGATGATCGTATCACATTGTCTTGCTAACTATGTTTTGGTTGTCGTGCTGAAGCTTGGGTTGAATGGACTTGGTGTAGCAGCTATAGTCAGTAGAATACTGCCCCTGACTGTGTCCTTGACGATCTGCTGTGTCATGATAAAACAAGACCAGTTTGCTTGGAATGGGTTCAGCGCCCGCGCACTTTTAGGCTGGAAGCCCATGATGAAGCTTGGTATATCAGGTGCTCTGAATGTGTTTGCTGAAATGGTTTTATTCGAGATCTCAACATTCTGCAGCCAGTTTGACGGAGCAGTGGCTTTCTCCGTGGTAATTATCGCACACCAGCTGGTATCCATCTGGTGGTCAATAGCTCTGGGGATGTCGGAAGCCGCTGCCACACTCATCGGAACAGCTCTGGGTGAGGGAGATGCTGAGAAAACAAAGCTGTGCATGAAGTTGACAGTGGTGAACTCTGTGTTAGTGTCGAGTGTACTTGCTGTGGTATCGTATTGTTTAATGAGCTACGAGATAACGTTATTCTCGTCTGATAACGATGTGAAGAGTGTGTTCATGACCACTTTCTGGATAATCTGCCTCGGTATTCCTGTTGATCATATCCAGACGTCTCTCAACCAGGGAATACTTGTCTCGTTTGGGGCACAGAATTTCACCTGTTTTACAATGAGTATTGCCTGCTACGGTATAGGTCTGCCAATTGTTTTAGGCACTATATTCTTTACTGACATGAAAGTTGCCGGAGTCTTCATCGGATTGGTCGCAGCAGCTTTGGTAATGCTGGTATGTGCTGTTCTGAAGATACGCACAGTGAATATTGAGAATGAGATAGAGAAATCTAGAAAGAGAGTGGGTGTTGATCCTGAAGATGAAGATCCTCTCCTCGGGGAAGATTTTCTCCTTGATCGAAGAGAGGTTGAAAATAAAAAGGAAATGACTCGTGTTATTTTAGCATTTGTGTACGGTGGTTTAGCTTTTTTTTCACTTGGTGCTTTGTCCATGATTAGACATTCTAAATAAGCCTCCCCGCTTTTAGCTTTTCAGTCTGGTCCCGGCGACAAGTTACCACATCAAAAAGTGTCAGTCTAAAAACTGCTAACTTATAATTCATACTCTCAGTCTCGTGTTCACGTTATGCTGGTTATCTTACATAATATAATGCATTATTATAAAAAGAGCGTTTGAGCTCGTAAATTACTGAGATTTTTTAATTCTGGATGTTTGTATTTAATTTTTAACCGCGACCGTCCATCATCACATGTTCTTTCATTGCTCAAAAAATTAATTCCATTGAACTGAAGTGATTTATTGCAGTTACAGCTTTTTATATTTGTCTGTTATAATCCTTTAGTTGTTTCACTTGGTTGATATTTTCCTCCGTGTTACTTGCCCGGCACTTAATTGAACTGCAGCAAAATAGTTAAATAATAACTCAAATATTAAGTTTGTTAAATGAATAAATGAAATGAATAATTATTATTAAAATGAATAAATTAAGAATGGACTATTATATCATATTCATGGTTAATTGACATTACTTATACTACGCACTTAATTTGGGACATCTCATTGCATGATCTAAAATATCGGGTTGCTGCTGGTCATGGTATCTTTGGAATTGAAAGGAAATTAGTTTATGATCGGTGTTACTGCAGTAGTTAGTATAGTATTACTATTAGTATGACTTGTTACTGTTAGTATGACTTGACCATTGTTAATGGTCTGGCCCGGCGCGCGCTACTTCGTAGCTCTTGCCATCGGGCCTATAATTATTGTACTATCATATTGATTTCAATGATGAATCAGTGGGGTTAAGATAGTCACATTTGTAACAAATAAAACCTGGAAACCGGCCTACCTGGATTACCAGACTTCTTCTTTTCCTCAACAATCAACCTAACCAGGGAAACCAAGGAAGAGCTAGGAAGTAGGAAGTAGGAAGAGCTAGGAAGTAGGAAGCAAGTGTAAATACACCTTCCAACATCTACTGTGACATGTTTTGTACTGTACTCCATACCGATTCATTTGCTATGCGGGATACCTCAAATCACCCCCATATGTCAGGGTCGGCTTAAAATAAAATCAACAAGGGTAACATACGGGCAAGGGTAAAATTCAGATACGAGCGTCGGGCAAGGGGTAGTAAAGAACCGGTAACAATTAATTCAGTGAAATGTTCCACGAGAGTCAGGATAATTTGGAAATTGCTAATAGAGACTGATCCTGATCAGGAAGGTCAAGGATTGTAAATGTTATTGAAGATGTTGATTTGAAATCCGGACGTTGTGAAATAAAAATACAGGTTCTTTCCGCAGGATATTCGGGGCCCATGATGATCAGCTCGGGATTAATTTGGGAAAGTTCGAAGAGCATTGAAAAGAGCGAGTTGAAATTTTAAGCTTTCTGAACTTTTGAGGAGGTCCCGGAGCCCAACCGCCGAACGGTGCCCGCGGGGCAGCCACGCCCATATTTGGTCCAAATTAGGCCCAATTTAGCCAAATAACCTGAACATGCCCAAAATCTTGATTTTAGGTGCTCTACTTGTAGCTAGTGGTCCCCTGAAATCGTATATGAATTTTCATCAAGATTGGACAAAACATGACTGAGTTATGAGCAAAAAACCATATGACCATATTTGGGCATACGAACCAAATTTGATCGAATTTGGCCCATAAATTGGTTAAATATCAATGTTTTTGAATGAAACCAACTTTATATGAAAGGTAAGCCTATACTACAAATTATCTATGATTATCAGCTCAGTATCTACCTAACTGTGGATTCTGTGTTCAAATAATCTCTTGACCATTGTTAATGATCTGGCCCGGCGCGCGCTACTTCGTAGCTCGTGCCGTCGGGTAACATTTCGAGAAGAAAGCGGCGCGCGCTACTTCGAAGAAATTTAGACGAGTAACATCCGTCAAATAATCTCAAAAAAAGAACAAAATTGCCCATATCTCAGTTCGCGATATTTGCAAAACTGATTTCGCGTCGCTCAAAACAATAGAACTCAATAGGGTTTCAATATTTTTACACGAAATTTTCAGAATCAACGTAGAATCGCATTTCAACCTTAAGTTATGTATTGGGATTTTGAGTTAGGCCTTTAAACAAATTTGGCGGCCAAATTCCAATATTTGCAATGCGAAATTCAGAATTTGGCCGCCAAATTTTTTTAAAGGCCTAACTCAAAATTCCAATACAAAACTTAAGGTCGAAATGCGATTCTACGTTGATTCTGAAAATTTCATGTAAAAATATTGAAACCCTATTGAGTTCTATTGTTTTGAGCGAAATCAGTTTTGCAAATATCGCGAACTGAGATATGGGCAATTTTGTTCATTTTTTGCGATTATTTGAACACAGAATCCACAGTTAGGTAGATACTGAGCTGATAATCATAGATAATGTGTAGTATAGGCTTACCTTTCATATAAAGTTGGTTTCATTAAAAAACATTGATATTTAACCAATTTATGGGCCAAATTCGATCAAATTTGGTGCGTATGCCCAAATATGGTCATATGGTTTTTTGCTCATAACTCAGTCATTTTTTGTCCAATCTTGATGAAAATTCATATACGAGTTCAAGGGACCACTAGCTACAAGTAGAGCACCTAAAATCAAGATTTTGGGCATGTTCAGGGTATTTGGCTAAATTGGGCCTAATTTGGACCAAATATGGGCGTGGCTGCCCCGCGGGCACCGTTTGGCGGTTGGGGTCCGGGACCCCCTCAAAAGTTCGGTCACTGGTCCTAGTTTGTTGGTCAACTGCTATCTCGAAACCAAGTTTCACAAAAAAAATCAGGGTGAACCCCCCCGGCCCCCCCCCCACCCCCCCCCCTTAAGGTGAGGATTGCCTCGATCTTTCGGTTTTAGCTTAACTCCCTAGGCCCTAGGTCATGAGTAGAACCGAAGGTATATAAGTTGCTTGTTGCTCATATTAACTATAAAACATCAATTTTAATAAGAAGGTTGATTTCTCGGTTATTTTTAAGCTTCCGTTCAGAAAATAATTCGGGACTTTCAAAGGGGGGTAACAAGAAGGAGTTACGAGTGGTATGTAAGCGTTCTATAATACATAATTTGCATCACATCTTCAACCTGCTGAATAGAGGCGCCACCTAAAACGTAAACCAACAATTATCACCTCCCCGGCAGTATCGACATCTATAAAGCGAGACGATATAAATTTATCTGTGCCATTTTACTGACAGCACGGCATCAACTTTTACGCAAATTTCCGCAAAAACCGTAAAATATATACAACTGAAACCTTTTTTGACTGGGTCAAATGCTTTAATGGCCTCCAAATCAGCATGAAAAAATAAAAAATTGGCCAAGAAATAGGAGTTTTAGAGACCAAAATTTGGTACCCCAAGTGGTGTCAAAATACGGGTTCCTGCTATTTTATAATAAAGATAAGAGATGCTTTTACTAAAAGGTTTCAATTTGCAAAATAATTTAATTGCGGATATAAGGATTAAGGGTCACAGGTTTCAGTTCAAGTTTCAGTTTACTGTATTTTTTCAGTTCTTTAGCTTTCACTTATCTCTGATGGATGGTTTTTATTCCTCCCAACCTTTGAAAGTGTCGCTGAACGTAACGATACAATTACAATTTCGTCACATAAGTTAAATTATTTTTTTGAAATTCATTTCATTTCGATCAAGAATTCAGATAATCATGATATAAATACTCAAAATCTTAAATCAACCTCGCAATCCTTTTTTTCGTTTAATATAATTTGACCAAAACCCATAATCATGGGTAGAGTGTACCGCTGCCAGTGTCTCTCTTTTCCAAACAAAAGGAAATGATATTAATTTGAGGAACCGTCCGCTAATGCAAATTGATACCGAGAATGAAATCGGTCGCTCGCTTTTCCCATTCATTCACGGCTTACGAATTGTAATAAAGCTTATTAAATGGGAAAAGCGAGCGACCGATTTCATTCTCGGTATCAATTTGCATTAGCGGACGGTTCCTCAAATTAATATCATTTCCTTTTGTTTGGAAAAGAGAGACACTGGCAGCGGTACACTCTACCCATGATTATGGGTTTTGGTCAAATATCATCTCTTTTTGATTATAATGTCAGGATAATTTACACAATCGAAACTTCATTAACAAGGAGGTAATTCCGACGATTTCGAAATTCTGCCTTTGAAAACGTTTCCTTGTGTTTAGTTAGGTATATCTGTCGATAACCGACTGAATATGGCACTTTTTACTCATTCAAGTTGGCATTAAATTCATATATAATGCCATTTAAATATCGTGGAAAGCAGAATATATTCGAAATCACGAATGAGCAAAATTCTCACCTTTCGCACGTGCAAACTTTGAGCGGACGTTGCGTGCGCATACAATATTGAATCACCGTAAATTTTTGCATAGTGGTATTTAATATATAGTTTGATAAGCATGCAAAGTTTCAGAAGATTTCAAAAAGAACTTGGATCACAACGGGACTCCAAAGTTGATAAAAATCGTGAAAATCAAAATTTTTAGTGATTTTAGCTATTTTAAATAAATTTGGGCGTGTCCCCACGTGTGCAACTTTTCGATTTTTAACTTTAAAACTAGCCTATAACACAATTTACACCTTTAAGAAGCAAAATTGAGCTCCACAACCCAAGGGATGACCCAACACCAGAGAATACTAATTCACAACTTTTGTGTTTTTATAAAATTATTCTTCAAAAAAGCACTAACTTCAATAGCAAATATCTTTATGAAGAAGCAAGGTAGGAAACTATTCCGGTAGATTTTCGGAATGCTTGAACAATTATCTAAGGTGAAAATGTCCTCAGATTTTGAATAAAATTACTCCTTAATAGCGTAAAATCGATTTGAAAAGTTGTTACTTTGTCAAAAATCAAGTTTTTAAAACACTTAATTTGATGACGTCATCAAGTGATGATGATGACGTTAAATTATTTTCAATACAATGTAAACTAAAGCTTAAACGATTATCTTTATAACCTGTGGTTCGAGATGACTGTATCGTTTATACT